CAGCTCATTTAACAGCCAGTTTAAGATAGGGATGATTACATCCTACACAAGGCTTTTTTTTTCTTAAATTGTCAAAGAGTTCAAATACAATACCTACAGATAGCCTTATGAGAAATTATAAAAAAAAAAATAGAAACCTACAAATGGCCAAATACAAAAGCATCAGTGACAACTGAAAAAAATTCTTTAGAAAAAGAAAAAGTCCAAAACAAAACTGTGCTAATAGAGAATAAACAATATAGAATTATCTGATTTACTCGTTAGAATTTAACACAAAGTAGTCATGTTTATCAGTTGTTAAGACAATCAAATACATTCCTAACATCCTTCTGGCAGATATTAAAGACAGTATGGCAGATAAAGTCAATCTCTGTTTGCTCTATTTTGGCACATAAGATACAGTATACTGTGTGCATTCCACTTTGTTAAGCCACCCCAAAACCATCAAACCCAGTGCCAGGAAGTAGGAAAAATTCGACTGTGGGGAGTATAAAGCTATTGATGATTCTAAAAGGTACGGGGTAAACTGTACTTAAGAGAACAGTTCTCTTTAGATGCAAAGGAAAGAAAATACACTCAATCACTGCAGCTTTTATATCCAAAGGATTCCTCAAGAGTTTAGAGATTTCATTTGAAGTAACTTTTTTCTTGTAAATAAAAGGAAAAGTAAAAATATAAAAGACAAAAACCAATTATTAAGATTCTCTCATGGTTATATAAACCATAGTTCTTAAATACAATTGTAATCCAAGGAACAATTCCTCTAAGTTGCAATGACTAAAAGAAAGACAGGTTTCCTTGGCTAGGAAAACCTATTCCAAAAGTTATTATTCCAATAGACCTCCATGTGAAAAGAAAGGCTGAAAAAAGATGTCGTTAGATAAAAAATGCAGCTAATTCTTCCAAAGAAAGTTGATAACACTGAATGTGTTTTTATTGTATACTCATACCCATACATTAAAAAGTAATTTTTCAAAAAGTATGTATGTAGCCTCAACTGATTAACTTAAAGTCCCAGTAAAAACACAAAATAAGGATCACCCAAATTTAACACAGGCCACAGACAAAAACAATCTGTGCATTCCTTGCAGAAACGCGATACTGCACGTTTATATTACCCTGCCAGGTTTACAAAGCACTTTTTCCCCAATTCCATGAGACAGCCCATCATCAGTGGTGAAATATATGCACAGAACAATTAATATTTAAGGAATCTTTGCACTGGAAGAGTTGTACTTAATACAGTCATTTAAATGGCAAAAAAAAGGGTGAGGGGAGATAAATGGCAAGTCCATAACCTGTTGTTAAGCATAGGTTCCCAAAGTGGGCAACACTGACCCATGGGGCAGTGGTGGTTCTGGAATTATCCAGGGGGGTAGTATTTTTTTTAAATGATGCAAATTTCCAAAAAAAAAAAAAATTTAAAGGGTTAAAGAAAGTACATTTCCAGAGGGGTGTTGAGTCATTTTTTTTAAAGGGGGCAGTAGGCCAAATACATTTGAGAACCTCTGCTTACAGCCTAAGAGAAAATCATTAAAGAAAAAAAATAAGAATTTGCTGACATGCTCCTCTAGTGGTTTTTAGAAATACAATGTATCTGTTTTTCTGAAATGGTTCACATACAATTAAAATGCGAGAGACAGAAGAGATCTTAGGAGGTTTTAATCCTGAAATCCAGATCCTTAGGAGGGGTCCCATTTTTGCTACTCCAAAGTTTTACAACAGGGGTTCCCTACCTGTTAAAAGGAATAATAGTAACTGAGTTATTAAATTTCTTTCTTGCTTTATTTTTTTAACCTTCACTCAGTTACTCTATGAGAAAAGATTGATAATGGCAGAACAGAATTAACCGATTTCATCAAACAACACGTAAGACTGCCCTGGTCAACAATGTGTAGCCAAGTTTCATGATTAATACATTAAAACTAACACAAAAGTTGCCAATCTTCTCTATACAATTTGGCCAATGACCCACATACGACAGTTGTTCTCAGGGAAATAAGGCACCAAATATAAGTCACGATGATTGTGTAATCAACACAAACTGGGTGTACAAAAGCAAAACCCAGACTATTAAAAAACAGGAACAAAGAACACAGGATCACTTGCTCCATGTAACTCGTAGCAGACCACCAAAAAGAAGCTGATCAGAGGAATATAGAATGGTTGCCACCAAGTAAAGCTGCCCACAATTTACAGTCAAGTCTACTGTGGGTGTGGCTCAGAGCTATATTCCTCTTAATCTTGACCCAGATCCAGCTTACATGTATCTTCTATTCTGCCTCATTTCCTAACCTAAAGATGGACTTACTCCACAAATATTTGAGAGGCTATACTGTGTAAAGTGCTCTAACACTGCTTGTTCATAACATTCAGAAGTCTTTTTCTTCTCTCAGACATTCCTAATGTTCTCATCTCTAGTCTTCTCATAGAAGGCATAGATTAGGTGGCAGTCTTTGGGCCCAGGTGAAGTAGGCTACATTCCTGCAAAAATGATACAAAATGATGGATGACAAATCCTATTAGCCCATGGGGGAAAAAAAAGTAACAGAAGATAATATTCTCAACCAAGGGCTTGACACCCACCCATTTATGTTAAGGACAAAGAACAGAATAGAGAATCAACTTCAATAATACATTGATTCATGCTACAGCATAAAATGTACATAACTAAAACAGGGGAATAGTAACCAATGACAAATCTGTGAGTTATAATACAGCACCAATTTCCACACCAACTTCTCATAATCTCCATTATGCCTGTCCCCATCCCCCACCTTTTTAAACTACACCTAGTTAGAAGGAAAAGGAATACTCTTAGCTGTGTCATGGAACATAAAAGTTTCTTTGGATATATTCTGAGAAGCATCTTTAAGATGTTTGGGGAGGGAGATTTAAGTCTAATGAATAAATCTGAGAAATAAGTCTCATGATGTTTGTGGTACCGCTCTCTCATTCACCGTGAAAACTCCCTGGGGCAGACAGAGGCATTACTTATCTTTCTGTATCTGGTAGCAGGAAGTCTGCCCCCTTTTTAGCCCCAGCAGGCCTGCCCTCTACCCTGCTGCTATGCATACAGGGTGCACCTGCCTTCAGAACTCATGAAGCTTAACTTTCATGCTGGGTTCCCTCATCAAGTTGTTGCTCTGCAATCAAAAAGCCTCCAAGTTGTGGCCTGACCAATGACCCAACTCTAAGGCTCACACGCACAGAACCTATTGTAACCCTATAAAGTAAGCCTCCTCATGTCCGTTAAGTCCTATGTAGGGACTGTATCCCTTTGAATCAGAGTTTCTCTCACATTCACTAGCTATTCTGGAAATTTTAGGCCCAAATCAGGTATGAATACAATGCAGTGGGGCTGGTTTGTTTTCCTTAATAAACCTGAACTACATTTTGACAGACATCCTATTTCAAATACTACGGCCACTTTAACCAAGACGCTTTTTTTTTCCAGAACAACCTTTGAAGAGACATTAGTAGCTACCAAAAAAAAAAAAAAATCTGGGAAGAGCCAAACTGAAAACTAGGCTAGGGGGAAGAAGAAAGAGAGAGAATGTACAATGGGAAGCAAACTTACTGAGGTGAGTGTATTTGGGGGCTGCTTATTTGTCTAAAGGCTGTTACATAAATTGTTCCCCTGTCCCTGAGGGTCATACTTTCCCCTACTCCTATAGTATATTACCCCAAAGCTGAAAAAGTTTATCTTTCTATAGGTGGCTTTACCGTAAGACTACACTACTTCTAAAAACAATTATTTTTAACATTTGTTTTTAAAACTTTTGAGTTCCAAATTCTCTCCCTTCCTCCCTCCTTCCCCCTCCCCCATTAAGAATGCACGCAATTCCATATAGGTTATATATGTGCAGTCGGCAAGATACTTCCATATTAGTCATGTTGTGAAAGAAAACATAGACCCTCCCCCACCCCCCAAAAAAAACCCTCAAGAAAAATAAAGTTAAAAAAGTATGCTTCAGTCTGTAAGGACTAGACCACTTAAAAGTAAACACTGCAAAAGTTCTGAGTCTTATCCCTTAGAACTTTTAGCTTTGAGGTTCTGGACTACTTGATGACTGCACCCTAAATGTACAACCTGAAACTTCTCTTGAAGTTATATAACTCTTCCATTATTCCTTCCCTATATACGTTTTCCCTCTTACTTCCAAGCACCTGTTAGGATGTCCCTTGAAAACATCCTTCCCTTATTGCCACTTTTTCTTGATTCAGTTCTGATCACCAGAAAAAGGGAAGCACGCATGGTCACATGTTTAGCCGAGGCCTCAGGAGAATTTACTTGTATAACATGTGCTTAACGATCAGAGTGTCCCAAGTGAAGAACTGGAAGGGCCCTAAAATCTCAGAGTCCATCCCCTAACTTTTACAGATGAGGTTATTAGGAGCAGATCCTGAATTCAAAGCCAAGCCTCTCTGACCCCAAATCCAGCACTCTCTTTACCTGATATTGACATGCATGTCTATATTGAAATTGACAGCAGAAATACATAATGTTTTCTATATTCTTCCATACTTCAGGTTTGATAATTTAATCCAATGGGATAACATGAAAAAATGTTGATGGTTAATTAGGCTGCCTTTGCATAATGACCCCAACACTCCTAGTGCCTGGTACATTCTAATTCTTCTCAAAAGTCGGCTGAGGATTCTGAATAAAAATGGCCAAACTCTGGAGAACAGCAGCCTTATGGTGAATATGCATTTCATAATGTCTCCCAATTGGATCAAAATCATAGAAGTCATCTTTAAATTGGGAAAGCCAAAGTTTTTGCGTCAAACATATGCCTGAGATGATTCCAATATATTTGAAAGAGTCAGAGAGTTAAACCATGCAGTAGTACATAGGCTAAAAACAAATGGCAGTCCATTCATTAAAGAAACATATAAAGTTGAACAATTTGGACTGGTACAGACGTCAAATGCATGAAAGATGATTGAGAATATTAAAGGAATTTGAGGCCTATTTATTCCATATAAGTACTCACCTGACTCTTGCAAGTATCTATATACCAAGAAGTTGACCTCATCACTGCTTATACTCATCTTTATTCCCACTTAAACCATGAGGTCACAACACAGGATATAACCCTAAAAATAAAACAAAGTAAATTATTTTCTCAATTATTTTAAAACAATGTAAGAAATGATGAAAAAAACTTCTAATTTAATTGCTATAAGGCGAAGGTTATCTAACATCTGTTAGCAAATGCTGATAAACAAAGTAACTTTAGAAAATTATTTTAGAAATTACATGACCAAGCCCTGCCCATTCACCACCTCTCCTTCTCCCTCCTCCCCCCCAACACCAGCCAAAGGCATGCGGCATTGTTGACATACACAAAGCAGCCCCAAAGGGCGCCTGGAGACCCTTCTGTAATTCTGTTGTCGCTTCTGTTCAGTTGTTGGTTTTTCTTGGCAAAGACACTGGAGTAGTTTGCCATTTCCATCTCCAGTGGATCATGCAAACAGAAGTTAAGTGACTTGCCCACGGTCACTCTGCTAGTGAGTATCTGAGGCCTCATTTGCACTTCAGTATTCCTGACTACATTAGTACAAAACCTAAATACCATGGAGGACTGAACTTTTTTCCTTATTAGTGAGATGTCATGAATCTGAATAATTAAAAGAAAGTAGTCTTGCATTTTATGAGAATATGGTTAAAACCATTTAGATGACATAAAGAACTATCTATTAAATCATCCTCACTCACACTGAAGAATTGTTTTAAGAAATAGCATTAGTGTCCTAGAGTGCATACAGGAGAAACTGACTTAGTGTTACACTCCTACACTGAGAGCTCCCCATACTCCCTTCTCCTTCTCTTTATCAATGCGTTCAACAAAAGTTAAAGAACCCTTAGAGTAAATAGTAAAATCAAATGGTCTTGGCATAGTCACTTTTATATACTTTAGCAGAACTAGTGCAGGTTTCGGAAACACCAAAAAATAACAATGGATGGAAAATGTAACAAATCAACAGATATAAAAGAGTTCTTTAAACTAGAACAATTAAGTTTTACTTTCTCAAGCACACTCTTTAGGGCAGAGACTTGTCCTCAAGAGGCATTCATTTAACCATATACTCACAAAAGAAATGGGTATGTTTATTTTACAAAGGATGGTAGAATTTAGCAGTCTGCACTTTGATGGTGATGAGTAATGGTGGTGGTAGTGATGATGACGATGATGATGATAAAGGTCTGCAAAAAGTTTTACATATAACATCTCCTTTTATCCTCATAACAACCCTGGGATCTGGGTGCTATTAGTAACCCCATTTTACAGATGAAGGAACTAAAGCAGAAACAGGAAAAGTGACTTGGTTCAGGGTCAACAGCTAGTGTCTGAGATAAAATTTAAACTCAGATCTTCCAGACTTCAGGCCCAGAGTTCTAACCACTACGGCATGTTGGAGTCCTCTTTGCCTCTTTAGACTACAGATTCAATTGCACACTTCCAGACCACAAGCCTAGAGGCCCAATTTCAATCCATACAAGCCAAATGAATTACAAAGCTCAAGAGATGTTTATTTGAGCCTGAACTCCAGGACTAAAGGTCAAGCTCCCCCAGCACTATGTGGGTTCCCGGAGGTAGGCTTGAGGACACTGGGGGTTGGGGCTGCTCTTATCCCTTCCTGCCCTCCCTACACAGGATGGCTGTCTAAGAAAAACAATCATGCCATAATATCCAACCCCAGTCTCATCTGGATGAAACTCAGTACTTAACAAAATGGAATGTGGCTGATAAGACAGGTACAGGCCAGAAAGAAAGATTTTTAAATGCCAAGCTAAGAAATTTTTATTTTCACTACAAGATAAAAGGAAGCCACCAAAAGCTTCTGAACAGGAGAACGAATGGGAGCATCAAAGCTGTTTTAGGATGATTTTGACGTGCGTGAAGAGTATTTCAGACAGGGAAGAAAGCAGACGCAGAGACTCCATGGGAACTACTAAAGGTGATCTGGTATAGTATAAAGAGTGCTGACCTTGGAATCAAGGAGATTTGAGTTCAAATCCTGCCTCAGACCAGAACTGTGTATGTGATGTTGGGCAAATCACTTACCCTTTCTGAACTCAGTTTTTTCATCTGTAAAAATGGAAATTTATTCAAGATGTTATCATGAGAAAATCTACAGGTAAATCAGGAAGTTTAGAGAGAAAGATGACGGGTTCAGTTTTGGATATATTCAATTTGAAATGTGGATGGCACTTCCAGTAAAGAGTGAAAGCAGGCAGTGGATGATTTGGGGATTCTAATTCAGGGAGAGAGATTAAGGTTGGATATACCAATTTGGGATTTATCTGCATATTTGAGATTACCAAGGGAGAGATACTAGAATAAGAAGAGCAGCACACACATGGTCTATTGAGGGGCTTGTAACCTTTTATGGGAGACTGTTAATAAATAATAACAACAATCGCTAGCATGTACATAGCACTCGAAGGTTATTTACAGATAAGGAAACAGGTTCACAGATATTAAGTGACTGGCCTGGGGTCAGAAAGCTAGTAGGTGTCTGAGGAAGGATTTGAGTTCCGGTTTTCCTGGTTCCAAATGCTCCCTTATTCACTGTGTAACCCAGCTACCTAGCTCCAGGGAAGCAGGCGCACGTACAGAGGACAATCAGATCTGAGCCACACTGGACCTGAGGGGCCATCGTCAAGTCCACATCTAAAGATACTCTACTGACTACATGACCTGGCAGGCCAGGGTCATGGGTCCCTGTGCTTTCTATCATAACACATTTCTTACAGAAAGAGCCAAGATTTCAAAAGGATAAAGAAAGTCCTTTTTTTTTTTTTTTGGCTAGGCAATGGGGTTAAGTGACTTGCTCAGGGTCACACAGCTAGTGAGTATTATGTGTCTGAGGCTGGATTTGAACTCAGGTCCTCCTGACTCCAAGGCTGGTGCTCTACCCAATGTGCCACCTAGCTGCCCCAAAAGAAAGTCTTAAAGAAATACATATAGAGGTGTTCATTCAATAGGATGGACAAACAGGCTAGATCAACTTCATTGTTTCACCAACTTAAAGACAGAGCAGCCTAATGCCTGGTATACTCTCCTCAGACTGGCTGTCCTGCCCTCCCCTACAAAGTTTACGGTTTCAAAGAGCACCCTTGGGAGAGGCAAGGTGAATTATTGGAGGTGGTGGGCCTCCACCTCAAGTGACATTCAGTTATATTCTCAGAGGTCATTTCAGATTGTCTGGTCCTCATCTCAACCATCTTGCTAATTCCCACCAGCATTCCCTGACACAATGATAAATTAATTTATTCTTAACTTCGGGAAATGATCGGTGAACATTAGGGATACAACGATGAATAAGGCAGATCCTTGTCCTCTAGGGGTTTCCTCCTTAATGTATTTATGGGCAAAGTTTGAATATCATTCACTTCTCTGAGGTCAGTTTCCTCATTTGTAAGTGAGGCTAGCTGTTCACGGACTTTCCTCCCACTCTAAACCCTATAAACCAATGACTCCCCTCAACATCCCAGAGAACAAAGTAACACCTGACAAGCTTTTTGAGGGAGCGTTTGAAATAATCACTTGTTCAGAGATACTGAATAACTTGCACAAGTCCCCAAAGACCCAGGCATGATCAATTAGCACACACTCAAGGCTTATCAGGTGGATCGCAACATGAAGTTCACTTTGGGAAAGTAAAAAAATACCTCTCATGAAAAAAGGTCAGATGCTACAAAGCTTTAATTTCTTCATCCAGTCCCATTTTAATTTGTTTATCCATGCGCAGAGACCTATTCCACGTCTCTGTAGCCTCAACATCCTGACCCGGGTTTATTTGTGTACTGTCCCCATACCAAGTAAGTTATGATCTCCTTATCACCATACACACACATAAACACGTTAATTAATTTTGAAAAAATTCTCTCTCTCCTTATTTTACAAAAACAATTTGGCCCAAAAGCACTTTGAATGGACATCTGAGCGATGCACAGCACAGCTGGAGCTCAACTGTGATGCCTTCGACTTTAAAAATCCCTAAGCTACCTGTTTTTAAATTTCATCACCAAATTATCAGCCAAACCCTGGGAGGTAAGACTGTATTAAGCACACACAATAACGACCACTGAATCCCAACTTAGAAAAACCTTTTAATGACAAGCATTTAAATTTCCTGGACACCAAAGCAGGGGTCTTCAATTAGCTGATTGCAAAGCTACACCCACCTGAAGTTGCCAATCAACTGCTAAATCCTGTTGAGTCTTACCATTTTTGTCCTTGTCAGCTCAGTAACTGGCGCATACTAGATGCCTGACAAAAGCTTGCTAAACGACCCATGCTCACAATTTCCTCATGAGGAAGGAAAGACAGTATTATCATCCCCATTTTATGGATGGGAAAACTGTGGTTCCAAGAGACTAGAGAACCTTATTCCTACTCACACCATTCTCCTGCTCAACAAACTCCAGCGGCCCCCTACTGCCTGCAGGAGCAAACACAACACACAGCTGGTACTCAGGGTCCTCCCCGCGCCAGCCCCTCCTGCCTCGTCAGCGTTCTCACACGTGGCTCTGGGACAAGGACTCCATCGCACACGGGCCTCTGGGCTGATCCCTTCCTCCCAACTCTTATGCCTTTGCCCCGGCAGTGCCCCATGCCTACAACGCTCTCCTCCTCATCTCAGCCTCCTGGACACAAGTACCACGTCAAGTCTCACCTTCCAGCAGAAGCTCTGCCCAACCTCTCTTAATTCTAGTGCCTTCTTTCTGCTGATTATTTCCATTTAATGCTATACAGATCTCACTTGTACATAGTTGCTACATATGGTCTCAACCCATTAGACAGTGAATTCCTTCAGAGAAAGGACTGGCTTTTCCCGTTCTTCATCTTCTCAACACTTAGCACAATGCCTGGCACACAGTCGGTACTTAATAAATGTTTGCTGACTGAAAGACCCTGACCACCTAGACTTCCGCCAAAGCCTCAGAGGCCTTTCCTTTCATACCAGTCCTCTCCTCTTCAGACTAATGAAGTTCCCACCAGCCCGATTCAGCCTGTTGTCACCTCTCACCTGGACTATTACAATGACCCCCCTGACCAAGGTCCTTCCCCTCTCCGATCCAACGT